TGAGTCCAAAGGGCATGACATTATATTTGAAATGTACTTACTTGGTTCGAAACGCAGTCTTCCATTCATCTCCTTCTTTGATCCGTACTAGATTATATGCTCCTCTTAGATCTATTTTTGTATAGATCTTAGCTTGATTCAACTAGTCAAGGAGTCCTGATATCAAAGGTAATGGATACCTGTTCTTGATTGTGATCTTGTTTGAATCCTCGATAATCAACACACATTCGTAAAGATCAATTTCTTTATGAATAGAATTGGAGTTCCTGCTGGAGATTTTGAATGGCGTATGAAATTCTTCGCTAAATTCTCGTCAATATATGTCTTGAGTTCAGCCATCTCATCTTGCGATAAACTGTAAATTGGTCCAAATAGTGGCTGAGTTTCTTCCTTGAGGTCGATTGAACAATCATATGGACGATGCTCAAGAAGAATATCTGCATTTTTTTTCTCAAAAACGTCTTGATACTCCTGATATTGACTTAGAATGCCACTTGAAGTCTTTACGTTTTCAGAAATAGGTGCAGCATAAATAGCAAAAGTTGATCCTTCTTTTGCTGCGTATATAAATGCTTTTGCACCTATCAGTACGGGTTTTACTGTACTAGACTTATAATTTTTTACTTGATTAGTAGAACTATTAATAACGCTCTGGGAAAAGTCAAGTTTATGCGAATTCCAATCTATTCGAGGGTTATATTTTTCTAGCCAGGATAAACCTAAAATAACTGGATTGGACGGGGATTTAATTATGTTAAAAGCTATGTAGCTATCATGACCGTCTATTGTTACTTTTATAGGATGAGTTTCATGAGTGACATCTCCAGAAGACAAGGGACAACCATCTATGACTTCTACATGTATTGATTTAGGTTTCTGTACAAAAGGTATTTTACGACTTTTAACAAATTGTTCATCTAAAAAACATGATGAGGCTCCTGAATCTAATAAAACAGAGGCTTTGCAATTCTTAGGTCCTAAATATAAGTCTATTATAAAACAAGGAGAGGGTTCTGATGGGAGGATAGGACCTTCATTAGGAATTGTATAAGGTTCCAGCTGCATGGTCCCTATTGTAGCTGGACGAATCCGTTTTCCGACATGTTATTTTGTTTGACCGTCGTACCTCTCATTTTATAGTTGCGTCGCTTCTTTGGACAATGTTGAGTAGTGTGCTTAGGTTCTCTGCAATATAAACATAATCCTTCTTGACGACGACGAATCTTTTCTTGCTCAGTTAGGGGTTTAAAACGTACCGCGTCAATTTGCATGTCTTCTACTTTCGACTGTACGTTTGGCAAAGATGTTGATGTTGCCATTGAGTAATAACGTTGAGGTTCCCGTGAATGATTCTCAGATCGAAATTCGAAAAGTCGATTATCACATTTTACCGCAAAATCGATTGCTTGACTCAAAGTTTGAGGATCAAGTAAGTTGAGCATCAATTTCTTTACTTCGTATTGCAATCCATAAAGAAATTGACTGATGAGTGCAGCATCATCCCACTTGATGTCAATTGCAAGTTGTCAAAATTGTGAAGCATACACTATTACTAAGCGATTTTCTTGTCGCAGAATTCGGATCTTATTTGTTGCAACACGAGTTGCATCGTGTTCACCATACATAGATTGAAACTCCACCAAAAAAGCTTCCAAATTATCCAATATTAGATTTCGTTGTTCAAGAAAAGACGAAAACCACGATAATGCAGAACCAGAAAGTAGAGTGCCAATAAACCTGACTTGTGATCTTGGAGTTGGATAGCTTTGCGGTTGAAGTTCAATTGCCAATTGTACTTGATTGATGAACCCTCGAAACTTAGATCTCGTACCATCAAATTTCTCGGGTAAGACAATTCTTGGTTCTCTAGTGCTTACAGGGTGTTGTACAATTGAAGAAGGAACGTGATTTGTTGTAGATGTTGAAGCAGCTCCGATCATCTCTATATCCCCACTTTCTGCTATTCTTGTTCTTTCATGTGTTGGTGAATTGAGTTGATGCATCGCAAGCATTAACTCTCTCATTTGTTCTTGCATTTGTGCCATTGCACTCTTCATTTCAACAAGCTCTGCCATAATGACACTAAGAAGAAAAATTTGTTTGATACTGCTCAAGACAAAAGAAAAGAAAGACTTGATAACAAAGAAGATACTAAGAACAATATCAGTTTAGAAGTGGGTAATCCGCAAACTTCTAATACGCTTATGTCTTGTCAAGAGAAAGGGGTAATCGACTCTCACTCAAGAAAAAGAAAGCTCTGATATTGTAAGTGTACTCTTGTCAATCTGTCAAGGACAAAGACTCGATGATTGAAAATATACACAAAAAGGCTATCTCGATATAATAAGTCAAAATATAAACAAGTAGGTATATTAAAAGGAAACTGGAATGGCTATTGCCACAAGACAAGAAACTAAAGACTCTTGAACCTGGACTAGAAGCAAGAAAGGAGTTGACAAGAGTGAAGAAGCCTTCACTCTTGTCTCTATATATACTATCTAACTAGGGGCTACGTGGCGACGTTCTATAGGACCTCTAATATGTGTTGACTTTGTAGGACACATGCCTTGACTTACAAGGCAAGTTTTTCTACGTGTGGGCCACATAGTTAGCTTGATCTTCAAGCTAACAACATGTGTGGCACATGGCCAACTTGTTGATCACGTTTCTAATCCAAAAAGTCAATTAAAGACACCTATGAAGTCAAAGCAGCGTCTAGGAAGTTTTTAGGAAGCTTCTATATTAAATATTATAGAATTAACTTACTTTTATCTACTTTTACTTACTTCTACCTATTTCTATATGTAATTATTAGCTTACATGATTATGGCTATGACAATTTTAAACATCAAGATTAGATCTTACAATTATCTTATATAATTTCTAATTAATATTATAACTATACATGTCAAACCAACTAGTCAACATGTAGCCAACATGTGATTATTTTGCTAAAACAAGAGGTTAACATGTGCATATATACTTCTATCAATTTCTATCTCTTTAACTTCTATTTATCTAAGTAATATATATTTATTATTATAAGTTATTTGAGATGGAAATAATTTGTTTAAATATCTTATTTATGATAAATCAAAAATAGTTTTTATAAATACAGTCCTTAATTAGAAGCATTAATTTTTTAAAAGGTAATTAATATTTTCTATTTTTATATTTTTATATAAATAAATAAATAAATAAATAAATAGTCATCTACATTATTTAAAAATAAATACTACATTTGAAAGGAGACAAAATATCTTGAAAATCAGTTTTGTAAAATATGATATTACTTCAAATATATATATAAAAAATCTTAAGATAATAGCATTCAATAAGTAAGGTAATCCATTTATATTAATAAGTATTAAAAAATCTTAATTTAAATGTTAAAATATTATCTTCTAAAATTGACTATAATAAAGATAAATAATCAAGAGATTTAAAACCACAAGAGAAAAAAAATAGTGTAGATTAAAAAAAATAAGACTAGGTATAAGATTAGAAACAATACAAGATGTCACTGACATACTTAATTACCTAAATAAGGAGTATTAGGTAAAAAGTAAATATGGATAGATTTAATAGTATCTTGTGGAAAAGCTTCTTAGAAGCTTTATAGATGTAAATTGGACTTTAGGTGTGTTTGTATTTGATTAATAGATTAGAAATTTAGCCAACAAGTTGGACACATGTTGCACATATAAGAAACTTATCTTCCAAGTAAGACATGTGTCTTATAAGTTGGACATGTCTTGGAGGTCTTATACAATATTGTCAAGTAGCTCTTAGTTAGAATGTATATATAGAAGCAAGAGAGAAGCCTTCTTCACTCTTGTCAATTTTTCTCTTTAATATATATTTATTTTTTCTCTTCAATCTTCTTTCAAAAAGACTCTAGTTTTTTTGTCCTTGGCAATAGCCATTCTAATTTGATATTAGGAAAAATATCATTTATATCCCTCAAATATACTAAAATATTAAAAATATCCTTGTATTCTTAATAATTGCAAACATGTCTATTAGATTTGTGATAATAACAAATGTACCCTCATTGGTGATAAAGTATCACTAACATTCTTTATTTAATTCTTATTTGAGGTCAAAACCACATGATGCATAGATTTTGCCATGTCTCTTTTTAACTTTTCAAGAATTGAAAAAATCTCACATCCTTTCTTTTGTCAATTTAGAGACCATACCTCACATTGCAGATTCTCTATGACACTTGGCTATAAAGACGATTTTTCTTTTGCACTTCTTGCATCCTTTGAATTGCATGCTACTACTACCATCTACTTGCCCATAACCCTCTATGTCTCAAAATACAAATATGACCCATGGGGCAATAAAAAAACTGAGAAGGTGATGCCACTTAAGAATGATAAATTGCCCAAATCAAGTTTTTGATAGAAAATTTAAGGATGTCCATGTAAGTGTAGCAATCATGTATAAATTATATGCATTTCCAATGGTAATAGTATACATAAATATACCAAAATGCATATTCACTTAGCTCAAGAAGTAATTTGCCTAAATATTGTAACAACATCTACGCACCTCATGGTTTGGACCATAGATGATGACTAAATAAGGAATATTGGTGATATGTTATCATCAACTAGGGTACATTTACTATTGTCACAAATGTAAGGGATATATCTACTACTATCAAGGATACAAGAGCATGCTTGATATTTCAGCATATTCTAGGAATATATATGATGTTTCTCCTAAAAGAAATCATGTCAAGTTGTGAACACTCTAAACTAAAGCACATACAATTTACGAGAAGATGTACATACGTCACGGCTACCGCGCATGAATTTAGGTTAGGCATGCGTACGATAATTCAGATTTTTATATTTTTAAGAAAGTAATGTAGACACATTCCGTGAGATAGTCTGTATAATAACAACGTCAACATCTGAGCCTAGCTTGAAGTCCCACACAGTTAAGAACAAGAGCTAAATTACACCTCATGAATCAGACAAACAGAGTCCGAGTGACAGGTGGATTATTTACTTTGAAATTAGACGAAGACTCGACAGATCAAAGACCTCCAGAAGTGCCCTGCAATAGCCGAAGTTCACAAACCCCGTCCTCGCGTTAAAACTAAATGAGTCATTTCAAGAGTCTGTTGTGTGAAAATCAGTCACCTATAAACTATTTTGACAGGCAAATCCACAATAAAGGGCTACAGTTGTATCCCGGAGGTGCAGATATTCCAAAAAAATTAAGCAGTTATGGAACACTGCAGTTCTGATAACTATGGAGGAGAAAAGAACCAAAATTTGACTGCAACCTATTGTTCTAACAACCCAAATGTTGAGGGAAGCATAATCACAGTACGAAGAGTGGGAACTTTTCCCACAACTCTTCTTTCCTGCACTGTTCAACGTAGCCTTCTGAAGAGAGACAACGATACATTCTTCGCTGTCCGCAAGCGGTAAACACTAAGTGTTCCAGCAGCAGAAGAATTAGCAATTAGTGATTTGATAATTGCCCTTGTCCTGAGGGAAATGATCTACTTTACAACGATCAATATACGGGAGTCTACAAGTTCTAATACTATCGGAGGGAGCCTGGGAGCAATATAAATAACATCCATTCCAACTCGTACCTCTCGGTTCCAGTGAAGGCAATGATAGTCACAATCCTCAATGTGAACCGAAAAATTAGTCACGACCCGGAGGACTGTGCAAGGCATTACTACTCTCGAGGTTTCCAGCGTAACTCCAAACTTTAACATCTTCTGAAGGCAGTTTCACCAACTCATGATCTTTCTTGAAAGTAGTGTCCAGTTTCCCATTGGACCAGTCTGGAAGTACTTGATTCAAGTTCGGTCCTCGTACAACGGCGTAGCCTTCGATGTGGTCACGAGAGGAACTCAGAATCTGGTGCGGACTAAGAGCCGGAGAGGTGTTGGGAGAGATATAAGGGGTAGAACATGGAGTGGTAGTTAAATGCACGTTGTGATGTCCATTGGGTCTCTTGATTTGGTTGAGTGGTCGATTTGAAGATGGTGGAGTTGGTGGAAGTCCGACTGACTTCTTCACCATGTCATCGGCATAGACGACGTCGTCAATACGTGCAATGATGTTGAAGGCCAAACTCTCCAACACTCTAGAGTAACTTTCCAAAATCGACTGGCCCACGTCCTACGTGCAGAAGACGAAAACCCAGTCAGCTCCAATAGCAACGACATAAAAATGAATTGCAGAGACGACTACAGCCTCACATGATGTAGATTACAGTTCATCACGGGCAGATTCCAAAAGGATAACATTGGGATGCAAATAAACGTCAACTATGACAAGCAAACAAAAAATTGACACGGGGATGCGACTACCTTGTTATACTGAATCTTGTTCATATCAAGGGCGGTTTGTGGCAACCCTGGGAACCGTAACTTCAAGCTATGCAACATAGACTCCGCTTTATCAGCAATCTGCTCCTTCTTATTCTCGTCAGCCACTAGGTCTTTCATCATGCCCCAAGAAGATTTCGCTGCAATATTTGAATGTTTCGATTGAATCTTGCGGCGCCACACGAGTATTGCAGTTTCTAGCTTATTAGCAACTTCCAGCTGACAGTGTTCACTTGAAAGATCCACCGTAGATAAAATTTGTTCTGCTGAGTAATTGTCTGAAGAGAGGTGTTTGTAAATTACATCGCCCAAACTAGACTTTCCATTCTGCACAGTAAGGTCCAGTGAGGGACAATGTTAGAAATGATAGCAGCAATAATTGACGACATTTGATATTCTACGTGTTAAAAATTAGTTCGGTAATGGAATGAAGGTCATAACAAATTGTATATCGTCATCAAATTGAATAAAAATACAACCTTCGGAAGCGAATCCCAATACACATCAGGAACTTCCATCTCTGACAAGACTTGACCATTGATAGCCATGGCAGCCTTCAAAATCTGGTTGATAGCCTCTCGTTGGTGCTGAAGATTTCTCCGACCCTCCTCAGAAAGACCATTCACTGGTACCTTTGGGGTAGGAAGCCACCACTTCTCTTCTTGTCTCTGCATAGACAACCTTGAGCCAGTCACGTTGTCTTTTTCTGCAGCAATAATCCCCCGATCCACATACCAGAATTCCGTGTTGGTGTAGCTATCCAAAGAATCCTGCAGCATAATCAATTATACTAAAGTCAGACAACGAAAGAGGCAGAGTTCATCCTGTCATCCGGAGTGGCACGTAGTCATTGAAAGCACGAAACTTTTATTACAGATTCAACCCACTCATTTAATCGAGCAATGTAATCCAGCATTGACGAGGAAGATTCATCGATGAATTATTGATTACCAGCAGCATCGCATCAAGCTTGCGTAAGGCTGGCAGATTAAGGTGAAGATCTGATCGGGGTCTTGTGATCATGACCTGCTTCAAGACAAAACATTGAGTAAGCATAGGAATAGACTGGAGCACAATCATGTAGATTACACGAAAAAATACTGCTGAGGGTAGGAATTCTTAAAAACGATTCAGACCTCGGTACTGCTCCCGTCAGGGAAAGTTTGCCATGATGGCACAAGCTCGACAATGTGGTCACTGACAGAAAGAAGCCACTCCATTTCTCTGCGCCATCTTGTTCGTCGATCTTCGGATAGTGGTTCCAGCCTCCAAAGCTCACCAAAGAGCGAGGCTGCAAAATCAAAAACAAATCTATGAATTCTGCGTACCAAACCTCTGCTGAATCATGAACACACTGGTCAGCGACGCTTGTCTTTAAATACGCACTCCAGAGAAACACGGCTCTTTGGCGAATCAATTGATGGGGAAGTTCATGGCAACTCTCACCTGAAAGATTAGTAATGGCATTCGAAATCGCAAGAGCGGTAGAAACACCTTTAGCACCACCCGACATGTCCTCCCCAAGCAGCAACTTTGCGAACCGCTCCTTCATCATCTCCACCTCTGCCATATGTACAAAAGAGACGCAGCCATCATTCGATCAGTGACTTGATAATTTGCTTAAAAAAACATAATAAAAACAAAACAAAAACGTAGGATAAACTCTTAGGACCATATTAATCGAACAGATGTGTCACAGCATTTCAAGCTTGCTCAACGACAACGTCATATTGCTTGCGCAGCCAGCTGGAAATAAGAATCTAAGTCAGCTTCCGACCTGAAAGTTCCGTCTCCCGTTTCTCTCGCTTCTCTTCCCACATGAATGTATCCCGCCCAGTGTCCATTTTTGAAGAAAGGGAAGGAGCGTCACTAGATCTATCCCTGGAGCTTCGAAGTGGCCACCACGGTGAACAAGGCCCGTCGGAGCTCCTAGCCGAATTGTCTACTTGTGCATCGTCGTACAGAAGAAAGCTCAACTCCCTGTCTCCAGAAAAATCGGACGCGTCGTCTGCGCTAATAGTACTTGCATCGTCCATATCCCGTTCAACGCATCTATCTACGTGAGGCTGATTATGCTGGCATACACCATTGAGGTTCAAGAAAGTTTATCACATTCACAAGAAGAATGCTTACGAGAATCGACTTATTGACGTTAAAATTTATAACATCCTGTGCGCGTTCGCTATAGCACTGAAATTGGAACAATGCAAGAACCGACGTCCAAAACTAAGAGTGGCGTGGACCTTGACGGCGGCGACTACGCAACGAGGCATGCTATGAGACACTAAACCTGCTCATCATGTGCAGAGTGAAGGCCCCGAGCGATTGTACTAAGACTGCTACCACTGCTTGTGAGGGAGGCTCGAGAGTGGAAATCAAGTAGAACAAAAAGAATGAGAGAAAAAACAAAAACCGGCACAACTAGAAGGGAAAAAACTAAAAAATAACAATTAACAGCGTGACAAGGCGCAGGGGAAGGGCAACGGAGAATACGAGGAAGGAGTGAAGAAGAGCCAACATGGAAAACAGAGTAGACCAGCCTGTGTAGGGGAGGGGCTTGGCGAGGCAGGGGGAGGCGGAGGAGGAGGAGCAGGGGCGGAGCGGAGAGAGGGCGATCTAGTTGGAAGCCACGATCCAGCTACAGGGAGAGGCGCACTGCGAGAGGGCGGTTTCACGACTCCTCCGTTGCGCTCCGATGCACATGACAACGATTCCACAGCACCAATCGACGAAGGGACAGACAGAGGTGCAGTGAAAGTTAACTCCATACATCCGCTCCATCCTTTCCATGTTTAACAGTCCATTTCCATTATTAGACACTGCCAAACTGTTTTCGGTGGGAATCCTTCTTCTTAATCGCAACCTACTTCCGCGGGACAGCCTCGTCGTCTCTTAATGACGTTCCCAGCTCGCCCTCTAGACGTGCACTCTTCCTACCCCCTCAATTTGTGACAAGCCTCTTGTAGCCGGGCAAACCCTTCATGGTCTCACCCTGTTACCTCGCCTCGGAATGCCGTTTTCCTGCGGGAGTCTCAATTAAATGTGGGGAACTTTGTTAATCGAAGAGAGGCAGTGCTGTTGAATGGTTTTCCTGTGCTCCTTGCTAGAGCTCTTTGAAATTTCTTCCACGTTGCATTGAGGTCTGGACAGAGAGACCCCAACTGTGGATAATTACCCGATTTTGATTGCGGGGCATGTACAGCACAGTCAAATGATTGACTATTGATAATACTCTGCCCTCCTTTTGAACCTCACTGTGCACAGTCAAAGCGCATGGTAGCAGATGTCGTGCGGTGGCATTCATTCCAGCCTTTCCTCCTTCTGCAGCCGCCAATCCGTCCACAGTTGCTATGTTATCATTAATAGCCTCGTAATTGCTAAATGAAGCCTCACCCATAAAAACACCTTGAACGGCCAAAAACACCATTAGAACACTGTTGTTACCCTAGAACTGTAGTAAACGCAGCCTCGCTGTCAGCTATGCTCTATTCATTTGAAAACGTGGGGGAGGACGTGCATTCATCCGTCCTACTCATTCCATATCCTCATCCTTAGATTTTCTACCTCCATGGCACCAACATCGTTGACCACGTTTCCGGTTCAAATGCCAACTCTCTGTTAACAGTTGCGCAGATTCTGAAGCCTGGACAGTGATTTTAAACTTGTGGTGAATTATGTTCAAACAAATAAACCATCTTGCTTTCAAAACCTAAAAAGTTGTGTAAGTTTTAGCATCTGCAAGTGTGCGATACCTTGCTACATTTTATTTCTGTATGTTACTAGGTGGCCAAGTTAGTGTAACCTTGAACTCACCAATACAGTGCTGATATTCATAGCAACAGTACACCATACTAAGGAGTGGAGATAAATTGGGCATTATGTAGGAAAAATATCATATATACCCCTCAAATATGCTCAGATATGAAGAATATCCATGTATTCTTGATAATACCAAATATATCCCTCAAATTTGTGATAATAGCAAATATACCCTTGTTGGTGATAAGGTATCACTAGCATTCCTTGTTTAGTCATCATTTGGGGTCCAAATTGCGAGCCATACAAATTTTGCCGCACTCATTTTTGGCTTTTTCAAAATTAAAAAAAAATCTTGCTTCCTTTTCTTTTAACAATTTGCAGACCACATTTCATACAACAAATTCTTGCCAATGCTTTGTTGCACCAACACTTTCCTTAGTGTAGTGCTTGCATCTTTTGAATTGCATGTCTTTACTTGCTTATAAGCTTTTATACCTCAAGATATAAATGTGATTTATGGGGTGGTAAAAAACCAAGAGGATGATGATGCACAAGAATAATGAATCATCTTAATCATCTTTTTGGGTAAAAAATTAAGGTTGTCTATTTAAGTGTAAAATTCAAGTATATACCATATGCATTTCCAATTATAATGATATGCATAAACTTGCAAAAATGCATTCTCACTCAACTCAAGAAGTAATTTGCTAAAATATCTTAAAAATTAATTTGATCTAGAATTATAAAATTCAATTTTCTTTGACCTTGTTGTATATCATGTTCTTTTGTGACAATAATCATAAGTACTGGGATACTTAGCATGCAATGTTCTAGTCTATAAAGACATTTATAATATCCAAATCTCAAATGGGCAATTTGTTGATGATGATAATTGTAGCTTGTAGTGAGACATTTAAGAAAATTTTCTACCTTACTAATAGTTGGCTTTTTCTTTTCATCCACCTCCTTCAACACCATAAATTTCTTTTCTTTAAGTTCACATTTAAATATCTTCAACATGTATAGCATAAGCTCCTACTTCATCAAGATATTTTGTTTGTTATTCAAAACAATGTCAAATGTAAAACTTGATTAAAAGATATGATAGCCTTTAATTCTTTGATATCAAACTACTTGTCATTTACACACAATATGCTCTATGTCTTTATCCCTAGCTCCTTAACATCAATAGTCTAGTACTTGGAGGCCTCATTTAGCACAAACACATTCACAATTATAGTGTCAAATTTCTTCATTACAACTATTTTCACTCTAAACACAAGAGTTGCAATATAACATGAGCTACTAAAGCATTGATGGAATTGATCAAAAATGAACATGGCAAAATTTGTGCATCCCCCAATTTGGAGCCTAAATAATAACTAAACATGAAGTGTTGGTGATACCTTATCACCAATAAGGGTACATTTACTATTATCACAAATTTGAGGAATATATTTTCTATTATCAAGAATACATGGATATTCTTGATATTTCAGCATGTTTGAGGGATATATATATGATAATTTTCCTATTATATATTGATCACTATGTACATCCAAATGTATTTAATATTTTGTATTGTCATTAAAAAACAAAAAAAATAGTTTAAAATAAAATAAAAATAAAAAAGAAACTTGTGTATATATGCATATATATATATATATATATATATATGTGTGTATACATTACCTATGTTACCTACAGTTGCATTATTTTTTTCTACCTAATATTTTGTGGTGTAGTTAATATGTAATTAAGAAAAGTGTAAACTTTTAATATATATTATTAGAACATTGTAAATAAAAAATACAAGTTACAAAAAAAAAAAATCAGAATTTTATAAACACAGGAAGTATGCTTACATTTAAGTAAAAGCTTTCTTTAAAATACAATGTATTTGCAACAAATTTTTTAATAGGGTTATTGCTTTTAGGTATTATTTGGTCATTGTTTCACTTAAGTTGATTCACACTTAGAAAAGTGTTTCAAAATACCACTTAAGCATGAAATGAAAAAAATTATAATTAAAAAACTAAATATCACGACTATTAGCAACTAATAGCAAGTACAAGCAAATAAAAAACCATGTATTTCCCATAGACATGGATAAATAATTTTAAAAAACTTTCAATTTACATACAAGAATTTTTTAGAAAGAAATGGTCTGATAAATGCCCTGTTATATTACACATTTGGAATAATCTAAGAGTCATTTGAGTTAAATACCAATTACAAGTATTGCATAAAATTTTTTCTTTACATAAGCAAAGAAAAAGTCACATTTAATTTTATTCATAATTACTATGTTCTTATTTTATGTTTAATTACTTTTATTCATAGTTGAATATAATCAATTGTTTCCAGCTCTAAATTTAATATTTTGATTAATAAGAAGTATATTTTAATTTTTTTATAATATATATATATATATATATATATATTATAGTATAATCAAAAAAATTATAATAAAAATACCATTAATTTTTATTGTATCTTTAACATATTAAATTATTTTTTTTCTTAAAGTTTATTTTTAAAAAACCTTTTACTTATTTATTAATTTTTTTTGATAATCAAAAGTAATTAATTTAAGTATTCATATCTTAAAACTATAAGTATTTAAACTTATTTATAATCATATTTAAATTTTTTAAGACTATAAGTATTTAAACCTTCCAAATTATTTAATAAGTTTATGAAAATTATTCTTTTTTCTTGAAGTATCTAATGGCTCTTAGAATTGATTTTAGAAACATACATTTTATATAGTATCTATAATATATAAGAATGTAAGTTAATTTCTATCTTAATCTAATTAACATATATTTTAGAATTTATTAATTTTTATATTATTTTTAATGTTATATCTAATAGTTTTTTAAATATAATATCTTATTCTTCTTCTAGTCTTTGATTTTTATGATTTTTCTCCTTATTTTAAAAAATTAAAATTAATAAAAAAAATTTAACTTATTTTTTAAAATATAAAATAAAAATTACCAAATACCAAATACCAAATAAATTAATAATATTTGGATTCTTAAGTTTTGAATTTCTTTCTCACATCTTTCATGGATTGCATAAAATATTTTTTCTTTTGATAAATCTTATTAATATTGAATACTAGACATAATAATCTACTTATTTTATTAATAATTAATTGTAAGTAAGAAAATTTATCATGTATGTATTACAAAATTGACTAAATAATATTATAACTATTAATATATATTATAATTTATTAAATTCTATTAATAGAAAAATTCAAAAAAATATTTTTACTTTTATTTATAATATAAAAATCTATTTGATTTATTATTATTACTAACTTTTATTATATAAGAACATGTATGTGCTTTTTTATTTTAATTTTATTTTAAGGAGTTTTTGCATAATGATATAAATTTTATATTATGAAAAAATATAATATTTTTATAAATATTGTATCATAAATTCAAAATTATTTTTTATCTATTAAATGTTTTATTATCAAAAAAATATATATAAAATAAGTGAATTATTTATGTAATTAGGCTTAATCAAGTGTGGAAATTTTGACCTGCTTGTGAAGGTGTCAAAATAAAGAGTATAAGAGCTATCTAAGTTTTGAGCAAAAGTAAAAAGTATTGCCAATATGTATGATAGATTGGATCCAATATTATGACTTCAATTGGTTAAGAAGTATTTAATATGTAAAAGAAGTCCATCTCTCTCTTTGAATGTATTTGTAATGAAAGAAAAGGAATCTATTTAATTTACAAGGAGTAAAAAGTATTGACATTTAGATTTATAAGAATTGGACAAAGTGTTGGAAATAATAGTATGATTTTAAAAGTACCAAGACAAGAAATAGGAGAGCTATGAAAGTTTTAAAAAATTGGGAAGTAATTCCAATATATATCTTTAATTAA